TTTGTATCAGTATTCAAGTATACTATTCAGTCTTACTGATATCTTGACAAAAACACAAGCCCTTAGTCATCTAGCACCAGTCATCATCCTGGATCCCTGTTTTTGTGTGTTTCTCCATGGATCAATCAATTCTCAATGAGACTGTGAGACATTTATTACTTGATTTATAAGTTACAGTTGGTGTTTTGATGTTTCAATATGCATTGAAATGTTGAGAAGGACTATTCTGGATCTGTTAACTACCTACTTGTCTCAAAACTTCACTGAATTGGTTCACATTCACATCCACCTCTTTTAAGAATTCAATCATCACTGAAATCGTGTTAGAATTCCACTCTATTGTTCTCATCCTTTGGCTTACCTCAGTCTCACATACTTTGAGTGCATTCTCAAAAGTACCATGGAGACCATTTGAAAGCAATCCAACAGAAATAGATCAATCGTTCCCATTGTGTGGTGAGTATATTAATTTTTAAAACTATCAACTGCCAGAAATTGGTAGATCTTGCCTGCTTTCTCATTTTTTTTTCCCCTACAATGTATCTCAAAGCTCTTATAACTGCTGAAACAGAATCTCCAGCAAAAGGAATAGGATGGTTCAGAGCATTCATTAATCCGCTTTTGAAAAAAGATAGAAAGCTCAAAAACCAACCAATCAGTCACACAAGGTGTTAGTCAATCATTCAATTCATGACTTTTGTTGAGTTTACATGATAATAAAAAACCATTCATTTTTACTTTTTGAAGTTGGTACATTGGATTCTTAGAAGAAAAATCAGGGCAAGTACTTTTTTGGCTCTTCAATTTTCACAGTGAAAACATCAATTTTTTGTTTATTTGTTGTTGATGTGAGGTAAATTGGATTGATAGAACAAGTGAAGTTGCTCCATCAGCATTCTTCAAGAGTTTCAGCTGCTCAAGAGGAGCTTCAGAAACAGCTTCAGTGGCTGCAAAGACATAGAAGAGAAGAATATCCTGAACAGATATTTGAGGCAGTAGAAATACTTGAACATTCAAAGGAAGGGATTGCAATACTCAAGCAATGGAAGTTGTACCTTCTTGGATGTTTTGATGAAAAAAGATTGGTTAAAGATTCAAAATCACCTCAACCTGAAATTCTAGAAGAAGAAGGAAAATCTGAGAGGCCATTCTTTGGGATTCCTGCAGAATTGTGGCCAATGATTATACCAAGATACTCAGAGCTAGTCTTTCAAGAGCTGAAGGAACTGTTCACAACTTACAACATCTTATTTCAGGACCAAAAACTATGTGAAAAGGTGAAACCTTTGGGCCCTTTCCAAGCCATAGGTTCCATCTTTTCTGGGACCACTCCTCCTAGCAAGAGATTCAAGCCTGAAACTGCACAGACTTATGTGATCAATATCCTTGACTTTCTAGTTGAAAATAAACTGATCAATGATGGAATGGTCCAAAAAATCTTCCATGATGAGGAAACAGTGAAACAATTTGTCCTGCATTTGGTCACTTGTTTAAAGAGTAGAACTGGAGGCATCTCATCATACAGAAATCAGTTGACTGAAACCTGGTACTGGCCATATCTCAATCCATTCTATAAAAGTATGTATAAAACTTCCCTATCAAAATTCCATAGAAAACTAGGTGACTGATTGTGTATTTGTTTTTTTCCAAAATAGTATTGGGAAAGAAAGAAAAGGGCATCTTGAATTTTTTTTTTCTTGTAGGAAGATTTACTTCAAGAAAGCAGTATGATTGCGCAGAGAATTACATATCTGTCAGAGGTTCTGATGTATTTCCATGTGAAAAACACTTCCACAGGTTAGGTTTGTCGAATGAACCACACCATTTACACTCCAATGAGATGAATAGAAAAAATCACCCTGGCCAGGGAATCTCAATCCATTCAGGAGGTTCATATAATGAAGATGAAATGGAAAGCATTGCAAAGCAGCTGATTGATGAAGGCCTTGAGAAGAGTGAAGAGATGGAATTCAGTGATCATCAATTGGAGCTTTTTGTGGTTGATGCTATCAATCTTTTTTCATTCATGGACAAGGAAATCTATCCTGGGATCATCAAAAAGCTGTAAGCATTAGCAATTGAACTTGAGACATCTTGATCCAACAAACTATAATGACTTACCATTCAATATTTCCTGTTCCTTTCTCTACATTGAACAGCTTGAAAAACTCCAACTTTTTGAATATCTTGCATGACTATTCTAGGATTACCAGAAGGATATCCCAATCCAGAAGAACTTATTGATCTCGTATCATCATGGACAAAGCTAGACAGCTTACTGCACACGGTTCATTGGTATGAGAAACTCTCCAGAACGGCAAAACCAGGATCAGAAGATGTGATTTGGAAGAAGGATGAGTATGATGGATACTTGGATGAGATCCAGAGTGTCCTAGATCACCCCCAATCAATCTATGGCTCAGTGTTAGCAAAAACTGACGGCCTGTTGATGGAGTCGGATTTGAAGAACTCCTTCGATGATTCCGAAAGCAAATTGAACGAACTCAAGCTCAAAAATCTAGAGGAATCATGATATAAGAGTAGATACCTCAGTTTGATGACCATCTTTATAAGCCACTCCTTTATTGAACTTGATTATTCGTTTTTCCTGTTGTTGGTGAAAATGTGTACATACCTTGATCAACGTGGAATTATAGGAAGTCTCCCATCAATCTAAGGATATCTGTGTGGATGAGGATACAGCTCTAGCCTCTGCAGACTTGACCCACACTTCCCTCAGTGATTCAAGGCAAGTACTCAAGAGATCAATTACCGGGAAAGGAGGCCCGGGTTGGTCTACTCTTGAAGAACCAAATGGAGACCTGTCTTGGAGGGACTGGAGTGGGGAGTAGATCAGGCTCCATGCACTGGCTGGGACGGGGACCCTCTGTTGACGAGAATCCCCGCCGCCACTCGGCCAATGTGTATGCTATCGATTCTCGCTGGAGGAAACGGTTCGCTTCGCCCAAGCAAGGGGTCAGCCCCCATCTCTTGATCCTCTGCCAATCAAAGCAATGAAACGAGGAGGAGGATGACGAGCGAGCTGGCTTGTGGCCTCTCCAAGCGCCCCGTGATTGGACCAGGGATTTCGAAAGGGTGTGTTGTGGTGTGGGTTGGGTTGGCCCCAGGACAGTGGATGGCGATCAAAGCTGGAAGCAAGGATTGGCGAGATCGAAGGTCGATCTGGCGGCCGGCCTGGTGTCGGCTGCAGCCGGACTGCGAGTGGCGACGTGCGGTATGGACTCACTTTTTTTTTGCAACAAACCAACCTGGCTGGAGTGTCTGCCTTCACGAGTCGCACCGGAAATTGCTAGTACATACACAATCATTCGTCGTGACTCATCGTGCTCGCCATGTGCTCCCCTCGGCTTCCCCCTCCTCATCTAACTTCCTAGAATATTGCTCAGGGTGCATACATCCAACCGTGTCGATGGGTTCTTTGAGTTATCATTGTAAGATCTTTCATTCCGTACCACGTTAATTTGGATCTCGTGTAGTATACAACTACAAGCTCTTGATTATAAATCATCCAATCTAAATAATAGGTGAGCTTCTCCTTCCGGGACACTTCTTCATGTCGGCGTGCTCCTCAAGGACCCTGGCAACCCCCTATAGAGGTGCCTAACCAAAAATCTAGGATTTTGCCAAAATTCCTACATTTCTGGAAGCATTCATACCCTTTTCGTGCCTACCCTCCCGCTGCTGAGGGGGGGGGGGGGGGGGGGGGGGGGTGCAGAGCACTATAAATTTGAATTTTTGCCTTTTTTGCTGCCAAAATTTACCTTTTATCAATTTTTCTCAAGTTTTTAACAAGTTCTGTCCACAAAAGTCACAGATAAAAAACAAAAAACCCAAAAACAGAAGGAAAATTGGGTAAAATTTTGATAATTATACATCATTCATACATTCTAGGTTAGTAACCTATGAGGATAAAAAGGGAATTCATACACTGTTGGTGTGTATCATTTTGGTTTTTTGGTCAGAAATTCCTACATTTTGGTTAGGCACCTATATAGGGGGTTGCCTGGGTCCTGCTCCTCATCAAGCCTTTCATAGAATACATGTTTTGTAAATAGCACAGGTTGGTGAGGAGGCCCGGTGAGGAAAGGGTTTGTAATAGGTTTAATATATTCATGAGAAGAAGGATGGGGTTGACCGAGGAAGATCAGCCGTCCTACATGCGGCTCTGGTGCATGTTTTAGAGCGGGCTTCCAAGGAAAAAAAGTACATCTTCTTTTTGGGTTGAAAGAAAGCCAATCGACGTTTTAAAATTTCCCGAATCGAGATAGCGCTATCCCTGTTCTGGATGGCTCGTCCGTTCTCTAGGAAAGAAGCTGTACACTCTTTTTTAGGCTGTGAGTGGTGTCTATGTGTTGTATGTATGGAGCCGAGCGGATTTGTTTTAGGTCTTGGGCTCCCCAGATGTGTAACAACTTCATGGTCTGTCTGTCTGTCTTTTTTTTTCGGTGTCTTCTTGGGTGTGTGTTGTCTCTTGTTTTGGTTTCGGTCAACATGTTGTTTCTCGCAGTCCCGAAATAATATCTTCTCGTCTCCAACTTCAATCTTTACCAACAAACAAGCAATAATCACTCTAATCACACTCCTTTCCCGTCCACTCTTCTCGGGCCATCCGACGCTCCTCAACCGATCATCAATCATCCCTCAATCGCCCTTTCTCCCCCCCCCCCTCCCTCCAGACTTAATTCCCAAGACCATTAATCCCACTACAAGCTTATCCTCATTATTTATTCTTTAAATCCGTATACCTTCATTTTTAATTATTATTATTATATTTGACCTCCGAAACGATATCCTTGAAGTCGCTTGGAATCCACACTCATTTATTAAGCAAGTAAGTAATCAGCTGATTGTTCCGCGTTTTCGCTTGTCTTATGATGAACCAGATCTGTTTTTTGTTTTTGTTTTGTTTTTTGATGGTCAACGAAGAAGACGAAAACAAAGATTGTACAGTTTAAGTTGTAGGACGAGAGAAAGAGAGAGAGAGGAGAGACCAACAATCATCGATCGACGCTGTTAATCCGAGAAAGATCAAGCCGATGGTTTGAAGCTGATGCTAAAATCTTATTGAGCCGGAAGAAGAAGATTGCTCTCACTACATAGAGTGTGAATTCGAGTTGCGAATAATTCCTGATTCGAGATCATATTGTTTTTACCGTTTCCTTTAAACCCTCCCCGCCGCAAGTTTCCTCAGTTGTCAATTTAACAAAAGAAGTGTGTACGTCAAATCGGAGGGATTGCTATTTGTTTGTTATGTAAGGTTTCTTTCTCTCTCTGGACTCTGGAGCCTGTTACAGTTCTGTTTTAGCTCTGCTGCAGTGTGCTCAGCTCATCGTGGCTCCTATCTTCTGCTCCTCGTTTTTTGCTCGCCTTCTTTCCCAATCGACGTTCCTTCCCATCTCCAGCCACTCCCCTCGACTCTTATGTAGTGAGTGAGGATCCCTAACCAGCCATCTCCTTTCGATGACTTGAATTAATTAATCCGATTCGTTTCTGACTTCTTCCCCCTCCCCCCGCTCATCAGCCCTCTTTCATAATAATACTACCTTCGTTTCTCCTCGCTCGATCATCACCATCACTCCTCCACCCTCGGTTTCCTCTTGACCACCACTCCCCGTTCCTACCCCGATCAACGTAGTGCAAGTACTCCCCCGATTGCCGATTGAGGTTCGACCACGCTGCTCCATCGGATCTCGAGTAGTTGTCTTCCCCAGTCTTCCTCAGCTTTCAATCACAGCCCAGTTCACTCTCAATCCAGTTGTATAGTGCCATCCTACAGACAGTACACACATACATCATATACATCCATATAACCCAGAATACTACTACTACTACTACTATTACTACTACTAACCACCCACTACCAACCCACAACCAGAGACCCCCGCTCTGAACTCCCCCCCCACTTGACTGATCAAAAAAACAATTTCCCAACAATCCCACTCCAGATACTCCATCACCCTCTCAATCATACAACACCAAGCTCCGTTTCAGATGGGCATTCACTCAGCCGGCAAGAGAAGATCATCCGAACAGCGTCTTCTCCGTCGTTCCAACCCCACCTCACAACCATCAGCAACCATCAAAAACATCATCAACAACCCCTCCTCATCAGCCTCACACTCATCATCAGATCACACCCAACAAGCACAATCCACCCTGCAACACAATCTCAATCCCCCTCAAGCCCAACCAACAAGGACGTTCCCATCAGACTATCAACCATCTCCACCCCTCGCCTCCCACATCCCATCACCACCCTCACCACCTCAAGCACCCGCATCAGCTCCAACCTCACTCCCCCTCCCACCACCTAGCAACCAGATCATCTTCTCCGCCATCCAGAGCGACCCTCTCAACATACCCACTATCGAAAACTCGGATTCTGAACTTGCTCAACAGCTCTTGGCTACACTCATCCAACAAGCTCGTCAACAGCCCAACCTCGACCTACCCACATCTCAGCTCGACCCCCAAGATCTAGAAACACTCCGCCTGGCCCTCTGTCCTCCTGCTCATCTCAACAACCACAACCCCATCCCCAACCCCTCCTCGACCTTTGCTCCCTCACCTCCCTCCTTCCACCCGGGCCATTTCCTCCACCACCACCAAACACCCAACGATCAACGCTCCCTACGCAAACGCTCACTCACCGATGACAGCCATCAACTACAAGCCCGGCAATCCGTCCAAGGCAACGGTAGCGGGCCCAGTGCCGATGGATGTTAGTCATCAAGTTTCCTCATCTTCCTTCTCGCTTGCTCGCCTTTGGCTGACCATCACTCTTCAACAGATCCCAGCTGTACCGCTGTATCCAATGCCATCCTCTCCTGTTTTCCCGAGTCACACACCGTTCTCGTACAGCACAACTGGAGCAAATTCATCTGGAATAACAATTATCCCACTTTCATCGGATCCAAGTTCGTCTTTAACACTCAGCAACTATCCAGTCTACTTGCTTATCTGACTTGACTTGATTATTTTTTTCTCGATTGGTCTCAGATTGGTAGACATCTATCTATACAATGCCAACTCGGAAAATCCCGTTGCGAATTGGACACAGATTCCTAACGATCGGGGAATGATTGGAATCTATGCCGATGACTCCTGGTTCCCACCCGTTACGAGCTGGCAGGACGGTCGCAATCTCACCTTTCCCTACTTCTTTATCATCACCAACGCCGGTGCGACCCTGACCGGCGGCGAACAACATCAAGCTACCTTCCGCGTTGTCCAGACTGCACCTCCTCAGGCCTATATCACCGCTTCGCTTGCTTCAGCTTACACCAGCTCCTTGGTTGCGTCCCTCGCCAGTCACTCTCTTCTCCCGTCTGCCGTCCCAAATTCAAATCTTCAGCGGGGGTCAAGTGGGGATGCATTTCCCCGGTGGGAAATAGCACTCATTGGTCAGTCACTTTAGCCTTTCCTTTTTTTTTTTTAGTCTGCGTCGTATTTATATGACTTGAACTTTCTCCAGTCGTCCTTGGATCTTTTGCTCTCCTGATCTTCTTGGTTGCCGCCTATCTGGCCTTCACAAATGCTCGCAAACGAAGACAAGTACGAATTTGGCAAGCAGCAGCCCTGGGTGGCAAATCGGGAAGCGGAGGAAGCGTTGCAAGCCACAGTCCAATGATTCAGAACACTGAAGGAGCTGCTCTTATCGGCCATCAGAAGAGTCGCGGTGGTGTAGGTGGTGTTGGGGTGACATCGGCCCGAGATTTACACTCTCCCAACAGCTCCCGCCCGGGCTCCCCTCTGTCGGCCAACAACCCTACCTCGAATACCTTTGCCTTCCCGCCTGGAGAGCATAACACTGCCGGCTCTGAGGCCGTCGCCACACCTGACGGGCCTATCACATCGGTGGACGCGACGATGATGGCCGAAGCATTCCGGAAGGCGCTTCGGAAACCTGAGTTCTCTCTACCCGAAAACGTCCCTGGTGATGCCCGCTCCTCCTCCAGCCAACGCGAACGAACCAAGAGTCCTCCGAACACCGATCCCACTAATCCCGATTCATCCGCCCCTAAAGCCCTGCTCAACGTTAGGGAAAGCATGCACGCTCAGGTTCTTGATGGTGACGATCTCCCTGACCTTGAAGACCAGGACGGTGAAGAGGCTAAGGAAATCATGGACCGCGAACTCGCTAGTGAAGGCCGTAGTATGACCTCGGTCGACAACCGAAAACGGCCCCAGGTTCATGGTTAACCCTTCTCCTTGTCCACCCCTCGCCCCTTCTCTTTCTCAGTCGCCTCTATAACCGCTTCTCTATCCCTTCCCGCGCCACTCAATACTAATATATCAATCCTAACAAATAATATCCTTCATCATCAAATATCATCAACATCGTCATCCATCGTCTTGAAATCGAGAATCCCAAAAAGATATAACGACAATAATTTCATTTCTTCCTTTTACGTTTAATATATATACATATATATCATCTCAACATACTTCTTTATTTTGTATATGAGAGCCCGAGACGGGGGGGGAAGAGAAAATGAAGATGAAGATTTTCGTGACCGGCAATCGAGACACAGATTGCCGCCCCTACATAACCTCACATATTTTATTCGTTCACATGGTTGGTCCTAACGTGGACGAGGAAACGATATCGACGATCGGCTGTCTCCTCTTCTCCGCCTTTTTTTTGGAACCTGCGTTGCCCTCCTATTCGCTTCTCGCGCTGCCTTTTTTCCCCGCTCGTCTCCGGACCCACTCCCTCGCTTCTCCGCTCTTGTCTCTCTCTTCACATTCATCGATCTGCCGTCGCGTCTCTTTTTGTCTTCATACTCTCATATATCTCATACCACGATTTGTTTGTTCTTAGTTCTATTTATCATCCACATATATTCATATATCTATATCTCTTTCCTCATATCCTATCTTATTCGATTTAACACCTTCCCCCCACACACCTCCCCTCTGCGCTTTCTCTCTGCTTCATCTCCTCTCTCACTCTTCTTTATTGTTGGGTCTTTGTTGGTGATTGTCTTGTTTATTAGTTTTTGTTTTGTGTTTGTGTTGTTTTTTGAATCAATACGAAGAAACATTTGTTTCCCCCCCCCCCCCCCATTCTTTTTTTTTTTTTCCTTCGTCTGTTTTTCTTATTTTTCTTTGTTGATTAGTTGATAATAATGATTATCGTGATTCCCCCCCCCCCCCTTTTTTAACCAAAAAAAATCTTTGTTTTTCGGTGATGAGGTGTGTATGGTTCTCTGGCCCGTTCCCGTTCCTCCGCCCGCCGACCCACACACGCACGATCTCATCCAGACAGATACCCACATCTCCCTCGCTTCTTTCTCTCTTCCTTAAGAGTCTTTCTCTCTGTTCGAGCTTGCTAATAGCGACGCTCTCTCTTCTTTTGTGTGCGATCGACCTTCATCCATTCGATGTCTGATCTTTTATCACATCACTACACCCTCCTTACACACACACTCTCTCTCTTTCACTTTTCTCCTTCCTACACTCTCTTCTTCTTCTGCTTTGCCCACTTTACGTTACCGCGATCATCCTTATCGGCCGGAATACACTCTGGGTCTTGATCATTCTATCTCTCTATTTTGTCTTTCCGCTTAGATATCTTTCTATCTTTCTATCTTTATCTCTTGTGTCAAACCTTTTTCTTTTTCTTTTTTTTTTTTTTTGGCTTGAGTTCTTCATTATATTACTGTGGATGTTTTTTTTTTTTTTTTGAGGTTTTTGTGGAGTACATACACAGCTGGCCTAAGGTTTTGGTTTCTGGGAGGAGTGAGCAGAGAATGATGGCTGAGATCACCCCGAAAGGAGTCTGTGACTGTGAATATGTATTTATGTGTGTAGTGTACATACATATAAGTCTTATCTTTATATGATCATCGATCTCAAAATATATAGAAGACAATCGAAATATGAATCAATCAAATCCGGTGAATCCAACAAATCATCAAGTCCTGGTCTTCTTGGATCATGGTTGTCTGGCACTCTCCATTATCTACTAAGGTGTGTGGTTTTCATCTTTTTTTTGGAGTAGGCTTTGGAGTTGGATTGTTAGATCAGCTCAAATAAGGCCATGATCAAGGCATACACAACTACATTAGGGGGTATCAAATATAGGAATTCCACCATCAGAAACCAGTCGCTTTTCCAAAACCTTTTTTTTTTTGCATAAATCGGCCCCCCCAAAAAGGTTAAATGGATAACCAAGATGTTTAAAAAAGGGTGGATTTTTTTTTTTTTTTTTTCAAACCAGTCAATTAAATAATGGTGGATTTGGTGTTATTTGAGACCCCCTATTGTTGTCAATCAACACAATGCACCAATCCATTATCTATATAGGCTCTCACTCTGTGTGGGGCAGAGCAATGGTGCATCAGATACAAGACATTAGAGATTGTCTGTCGGTACCCGTTGCTAGGTACCTAGTACCGCTCGGCGGGTACCACTGTGGTGTGCTGTGCCTGTTCCAATGCCAAAAGCATACAGCATAAGTGTTGGGATAGCATACGTCCCTACATGTGACAATCACTACAAGAGAAGGAACAATCATTATGGATGAGGTGTGGTATATACGTGACAGGATTACATACAATGAGTGGATTGAGAGAACATGTCTCAACCAGGAATGGAACAAAGGAGCGGTGTGCATACGAGGATTGGAGTGGGAGATCATATCTCAACCAGGAATGGAACAGAGGAGCGGAAGTATATACGTGGGAGGCAGTGGGAGAACATGTCTCAACCCAGGAATGGAACAGAGGAGCGGTGTGTAATAAGGGTACTTTATGTTTTATGTAAAGGGTACAGGGTACGGATTGTGGAAAGTGAAGGGAGGAAAAATATTGAGGCGGAGGGAGGAAGGAAGGAGTGAGGAGAGGCTTTGACCCCCAAATCCTGGGTGGAAGGAGATAACAGCAGGTCTGGCAGGCTGATACTGCCTATGCAGAATGTTCTGGAAGATGGCTTGGTTACCTGGCGATGCATGACATCATGCTGCGCTTGTGTGCTCCCTTGCATGCATATTATGTGACAAGGTCTGGAGTTAAGGGTTCCTAGCACAGCATAAGCTGCGCTATTTGTTTGGAGGCTGTGCGCAAAGGCTGTGAAGGTGAGATCCCCTGCAGCAATATTCCCTCACAAGGAGTCCCCTGCAGCAGAAATCCCTCACTCTTCAATATAAAAGAAGGGCCTCTCCCCACCAGAAAGTCCCTTCTCCCGATCAGCCTACAGAAGTCTCGCAGAGCGGTAAGTTGGTCCTGAGCTACTGGAAGTGTTCCGGAGTGTCAGTAAAGTGAAGAGTTAGAATTAGTGATAGTTAGTTAGTAGTGAAGTTAGTACATCAACCTACAGCGGTAAGTTGGTCATAGTTAGTTAGTAGTTAAGTAGTGAGTGAGTTAGTGATAAGTAGTGAATTAGTACAGTATTCTAAGCGTGAAACCAACAAAGAGTTTGGGATTTGAAGCATATTAGTAGTAGTAGTACATTAACAATTAACCAATAACAAGTAGTAGTAGTATTAGTACCGGAGCTCTAGTTTTTGATTAAAGTGCCTTAGCAAGGAATTGTTTGAGGAAGAGATCATTAACAAACTCTATAACAACTCATCTGTTTCGTGCTCAAGTCATCAGCACCACAGTTTCCATTATTAACCTGAAGTTGTAACAGATTCATTAGTAGATTGATACGTGATCTAGGTCTGATAGAGATTACTTTACGGAAGTAAGATCTATCTTGGAATCAGCCATACATTATTAAATATTGATTACAAGACTCTTAGTTATTTGTTTAGTACATTTAGAGGGGCAGGTCTTTCAAACCACCTGTAAGTTGTAATAGCCTTTCAACCTATTTGCAATTTATTTCCCCCTCAAGGGATCTTTTGATATACATATACTTTACCGTGTCTATCCGTCCCAGGAGTCCTACACCGCCCGGACCCGCCAGGTGGTTCTGGGTGCCGGTTTTTTGGCAAAAAAAGGGGAGGTACCCGGGTACTGCTACAGGTACCGCCCCCATGAGTCTTGACCAGAAGGGTTTCCTTCCGGTTGATGAGGTAGATGTACAGTGCCTAGACAGTGAAAAGTGGCTGCTTATTTTGGGATTCCAGAGCTCCAAAACAC